GTGGACCCATTTGTTAGCCCAGTAGAATTTATCAGGGTTCTTATTTTTCACAAGAGTTTACAAGAAGGCTATTTGTTTCCATAGCGTTTTGTAGAAACCACTTGAAGTACTGGAATTGCTTGTCTGAATTTCTCCATCAGTGGCCAACACTGTATTTTGTTTATATTTGTATCCCAAGGGCCCAAGAACTCAAGAAATACATACTGAATGAGTGAATGAGAACTGAAAAATCCAAGATTTGCTAAGTAGTGAAAATAGTGGCTAGGTTTTCCCTTAGTAAAATTTCTAGTTTAAATTAATTTTGTGTCCAGTAGTAGCTTTAAATTTTGACTTAGATTGACCATGATGGTAAGAGTCACATGCTCATATTCTGAGAGTAAAGAGAATGAATGGTAGTTGTTTGCATTGCCATAGAAACCTAGTTTTTTGTTTCAATGTTTCAATTTTTTTTCTTTAATAATCTTGATATCTGCTCCTAAAACATGGATTTAAAAACTGTGGCTTACGCTGAATATAACAGCGCATACGAGAATACTCTGAGTTCTCTGGAAGACATGCAAAGTAACACTAACTGTATTAAAATCATGTTAAAATGCTTAGAAAAAAACTTGTAGAACAACTAAGCAGACAAGTGTTACAGTGATTTTAGGATTTCATGTGACTTTCCATCTCTGTTGAAGATATTTTGAACAGTTGCTGATGATCTTTTACAGGGAAAGGAAAGGCATATTGTCTGTTATATGAGCCAAGAGTTCCAAGTTTAATGGGAGAAGAAGTATAAGGAAAATGCCCATCCTAGGAACTAATAATCATCCATTTCAAACTTTGTGGCATGTTTTTTTTTTCTTTTCAGAGCAAATGTGTATTATATTACTTCCATTTAGAAAAATAGTTGCTCATCTGTTACTTGTGGTAACTTTTTTATAAAGCTTCTGATCTAATTGCTGTGGTTTGCTGGGAGAATTTTTTTTTTCAAAATACTTTATGAACATTTAATTTCTCTAATAATGGATAAAATTATATTTGCAAACTGAAATAGAAAGGCTAACTAAATAAGAAAAACTTTAAATGTAATTCAAACAGGAAACAACTGATTCAGGACATTTATACAGCACCTATTATGTTTCAGGCTCTTCATGTGCATTATAATATCTAATTCAAACAAGCTATGGTTTTGCCTTTTTAAAAAATTCTCATTTGATCCTTTACAAATATTTTCCTATTATTTTTCAAAGTAATCTAATGCACATGACAACATACATAACACTTTAGAACAACTTATAATGAAAGCAGTTATCTCTCATCCTACCTCCCCTGTCTACTTTCTCAGAAGCAACCATTTTTAACCATTTCTGGTTTTGGTTTTTCTCATAATTACCTCCCTAAATAATAGGCCTCCAGAACAAACTGCTGACTTACCAATTTAAGACATTATCTACTGAGTACCCAGACAGAATGAGGATTTGGTTCATTGCTAAAATCTTCACTTATGCTTCTAATTTTCATAGTTAGTTTAGCTTTTTTAATCTTTTACTTTTGTGCCTTCAAATAATATTCCTTTTTTAAGTGATATCTTAGAGTTTCATTTTTTTTTTGAGAGGGCATCTCTCATATTTATTGAAATAAAATTCTGTATAGGGGAGTCAATGCTCAATGCACAATCATTAATCCACCCCCAGCC